GAGTAAGCCTAACTACATATACAACAGATTTTCTGACCTTATTTAAAAGAGAGGACTTTATTATAAACAGCTGGAATATGACAACAATATTCCATACAAAGAGAAATAAAAGATTTTTAAAAGTAGAGAGTGGAATCAGGATTAAGAAAATAGCAAGCATAATAAAGAGATGCAATCTTCACAGTTGCTAATTTTGCAATGGATTGTATATATGGTTTCCTTATAAACACTCAGATTATAATCTGAGAAGACATGACATGATTCAGTTCGAATGTTGTCATTTATTAATATGGAGTATCAACAATATTGCAATAAAGCAGTAAAGAACTGAGTTTTGTTTGGTTTACAATTCAAAAGAATAATGATTGGAGGATAGTTAGAGGGGTAAATGCGATCACTAGAGTTTTTAAAATTTCAACTATAAAAATCTTTTTTCATAAGAAAACAAAATTCTTTTTAAATAGTTTAGAGAATAATAAAAGTCCTGCAGAACACTTTTAAAAAAATATGAGAACACTTTTAACAAAATGTGAGAACACTTTAAAAAAATGTGAGAACACTTTTTAAAAAATGTGAGAACACTTTTAGAAAAATATTAGAACACTTTTAAAAAAAAAAAGAGAACATTTTTAATAAAATGTGAGAACACTTTAAAAAAAATGTGAGAACACTTTAAAAAAAATGTGAGAACATTTTTTAAAAAATATGAGAACACTTTTAAAAAAATGTGAGAACACTTTAAAAAAAATGTGAGAACACTTTTAAAAAAATGTGAGAACACTTTTAAAAAAATGTGAAAACACCTTTATAAAAATGTTAGAACACTTTTAAAAAAATATTAGAACGCTTTTAAAAAAATGTGACAGGAATGTCATCTGGACCAGAAATTGTAGAAGATTTTAGTTGGAAATAAATTTATCAAAATAAGTAGTAGACATTTGGATGTCTAACAACAGATTAACCTGTTTGGTATTGTCAAGAAGATCAAACTAAAACATTTATCAAGTTTTACAGTTTTACTTTCGCCTGAAAATTGCATTGTGTCAACCTCTTCTAAATTTTTGATCTACATAATTAGTTTTTGTTAGAAAAATTTTTTATATAGTTTTAAAATTCAAATTGTCAATGTGCTAGCATGGCCGAGTGGTTAGAGTGCTGAGCTTCTGAACAAAAAAGCTGTGGTTCAAGTCAAACCACTGGTGACCTTTTTTTTTTTTTTTAAATACTTGTGAAGTTTTATAAAGATTATTTACAAACTTTTCTAATAATATTATGTTATACACTTTAACAAACAAAAAGATTTTTAAAAAAGCTAAAAATTCTAAAAACATTTAAAAATGGGGGGATATTTGTTGCGTATGTGTCATTTTTACAACAGTAAAATAATAATTTTAATTATTTTTAATAGTTTTAAAAATAATTAAAAGTTAAAGTTATTTAATATTGATGCTATAAAGAAATTTAGAGTTTTACAGCTATTTCACCATGCCCCCATTAAACATTCAAAACCGAGTGCACAACAATGACAGAATTTAGATAGCTATCAAAATGGTATTACACTCAATTATTTTTTGGCTTTTTGGCTGATTTGTAAACTTTTAAATAAGGGATTGTCTATAAATTATGCAATGCTAAATTTCACTGATGAACTAAGCAAAAAAGATCAAAATTTACCCTCGCAGAGTCATATTTTAAATAAAAAATCAAAATAGCTAATTAAGTTTAATAAAAATGAAGAACTGATGGTTTTCTTCTTTTTTAAAATAGATTTAGCGTTGCGTAATTTATGGACGATCCCTTAGAATTATTTTTTTGCTATAAATATTGCTCTAAGCAATAATTATAGCAATTCTAATTATTATAGATATATACTCAGAAGCGATTTTATGGGGTTGGGGGGTGGGTGGGTGTATATACTCCTCTATATCTCCAAATCATCAATCAGTTTAATAGTCATCCTTACTCATTACAACTTGAAACTGCTAAAAAAGCCTTCTTCATTATCATTGGATTTGTTTGTGTCATCTTCAGTGTTTCTATCCTTGTCACTTTCACTGCTATTGTTGTAATTGCAGATTACTTTCATTTTTTTTTTTGTGTGTGCAAATTTTGACGGTTTTTTGTCTTGAACATCCCGTTAAATGCCATGCACAATGTACAACTGTTGATCGCATGCACTTAAATGTATATATCGCCTCTGTATATACTATAATAAAAATTTTGCTATAAATATTGCTATAAGCACAGCAAGATTGAAAAGTATTTAAAACTAATTAGGGGAGGTCTTTAATCCTACAAAAGTGACACCTCTCCAAAGAAGGTGATTTTCGAGTTATAGTCAGTTTTTAATGAATTTAGTCGGTATTTTGTGAGGACTCACCCCCTCTCCCCTCTTATCATATTTGTAGCATGGCCTCTATATATTATAATAAAAATTTTGCTATAAATATTGTTATAATATTTAAAACTAATTAGGGGCGGCCTTTAATCCCCCAAAACGATACTGATGACAGCGCACTAAACCACTTAGCTATCAATGATATGTGTTTAGGAGAAAAACAAACCTAATTATAAATCTCTTATAAGCTCAAGGTATGCTGAAAGGGTGCACATGTTAATTTTTTTGCTCTTAAAAATTTTTTTAAATGAATTATTTTAGGTAAAAATATTGAAGTAAACAAATCATAGGTAGAGAAATGATCGGTTTGGAATAGATAAGTATGAAAAGGCATTAACAGCAATTATAATTTTGTTTACTAAAAAAACTACACATTTTGATTTAAGAACAAATAATCAATATTTTATGTCTAATAGATGGTATTTCTTTAATATCCAGAAAACAAAAAATGTCTCAAAAAGTATTTATTGGTTTCATTTTTTTTGTGATAAAGAAAATCAACTTGCAAAATGTAAAAAATGCAACTTAAGAGATAAAGTCAAATGGTGACAGTACCAGTTGTCTACATACATATCTAAGAACTAACCATGAAGTTGATGTCATCAGTATTACTACTGATGACGCTTCTGTAATGCAGAAAGTGGGACATTTAAGTGATTGTGATCAACAGTTGTGCATTGTGCATGGCATTCAACTGGGTGTTCAAGATGTTTTGTACAAAAAACTGTCAAAATCTGCACACACACACACACAAAAAATGGAAGTAATCTGCAATTTCAACAATAGCAGTGAAAATGACAAGGATAGAAACACTGAAGATGACACAAACAAAACCGATGATAATGAAGAAGGCAATGATAATAAAGAAATTGTGGAGTTGCTTTGCCGTTCTCTGTTAAAAATATGATCAAACACTTCAAAAATACACGGTAGACAAATTTGGTAAATTTGGTCTTTTACTAATACTTGACTCCAAAACAACCCGTTTGTCAGCAGGTACAATACTAATGTTTGTTAACTTTGGAGATATAATTTTTAGCTGTAAAGTTGAAAGCTTTGTTTGAGTGATGATTTAATGAGTGTCGTACATCTTTTTCCAGCTTGCTAAAATATCTGCACAAAGGCTATCAACGTTATTGCATCCAACACTGTTTGTTGACCGCCTCAGCAAATCAGCCATTGTAAATACCATTGCTTGAATGAATAATCAGCTCAATCAGTGAGCATATAATCTACTCCCTTCCACCAGCGTTCTTCTGATAGCGATTTTGTTGACAACACTGTAAACTTGTCATTGAAAGAAAAACTTGCAATTTTGTATGATAAGATTTTTTTTTTTTTGAAGGAGAAACTCATGGCATGTATTAGCAAAATTTCTTCTAATACTTGAAACTCATGGCATATATTAGCAAAATTTCTTCAAATACTTGAAAACTGTGAGGCCAGCAAGTGTCAAATTGGAGTGTGAATGTTCAGCAAGTCACAAAATTACAATCATCTCTTGAGTATCATCCTCAAGAGATGATTGTAATTTTATATTATTTGTATAGCATGCTATATGTTTCTTATAGACATATTTTACAAAGAAGGAAAAAGCAAAAATTGAAAAAAGTCTATAATTTGATATAAAATAAATTTTATTGAATCAATAACATTTTTACTATTAACTTAAAATTTTAATAATATTATGATATGATAAATTAAAAAATATTAGCAATATTATACTGGTATTACCGCTATTGAACTCTTACACATGATGCCTTCACTGTTTCATCTTCTGACTTTATACTCTTACAAATGCTCCTTCCACTATTTCATCTTCTAAATTTATATTTTTACAAATGATGACCCCACTCTTTCATCTTCTGACCTAATTATATTTCACAAATTATAAAAAAACTTACATATTGTAATAAATCTTAAAATTTATTCAACACAATGTTACTATTATTCAACACAATGTTACTATTACAATGTTACTATTATTTGACCCAAAATTACTATTCTTTTTTTGATTTTTTTTTTGTTTTAAATAATTCTATGAACAAATTTTTAAATTATTGGAAAGAGTGAAAGTTTTAGATATTAAGTTTTCCAAATTGAAATCTGAATTTCTATTTGAAAAACTCAATATTCATCTTATTGATTGATTGAAATATTTTTCTCTTTAAATGTTTATAATCTGTTAAACTAATTAATGTTTTATTTCTTTTGATTGTTGTTTTTTCATTTAAAGTAACTTTCTGAAAAACAAAATATTCTTACTATTCAATATCATTTTTAGAAGCTTTTTTTTAATTACTTTTTTAAATTTATATTTTTAAAGTCCTTCTGGTACAATTTGTTCTGGTTTATGACACAACATAAAATTAAAAAGCATGGGTTGTTAATAAAGTCATTTCCTTTTTTTTTCAAGATCTTGGATTGTTATTTATAATTGTAAAATAAAAACAAAAATTATTTAAATATATAAAATTTAAATAATATTTTCATTTATTTTCATGCATTTTATGACTTAATTTGTATCAAGGGTAAAGTAGTAGTATAAGGAAATCAATAAAAAAATTTTAGCAACTGTTTCAAATTAAATTTTTTTATACAGCCAACTGATGCAAGACTAGCTTTTCCATGTTGGGATGAACCAGCCTGCAAATCAACATTTGAAATTACAATAATTGCACCAAAAGATAAAGTTGTTCTATCAAATATGGTGAGTTGTTTTGTGTTTTTGCTTTAACTAAGTTTTTTTTTTTTTTTTTTTCTCTTTCGTTAATATTTATTATTTTTTAAATTTTCTGTTCAGATAAGTTTAGGTAAGCTTTTGTAGCCCGTTTTTAAATTTTAAAAATATGCCGTGGTCAAATCGTTAAAACATTTGTGGTCATATAAAGACATGAAATCACACGTCTTCCTGTGAAAGCCTGATATACATATATATATATATATATATATATATATATATATATATATATATATATATATATATATATATATATATATATATATATATATATATATATATATATATATATATATATATATATATATGTATATATATATATATATATACATATATATATATATATATATATATATATATATATATAAATATATGTATATATATATATACATATATATATATATATATATATATATATATATATATATATATATATATATATATATATATATATATATATATATATATATATATATATATATATATATATATATATATATATATTGGTCGGGAAGGGGGTGCAATCACACTCGATAACTGACCACGGAAATAATATTTAGTTGCAATAAACCGGCCAGATTTTTTAGTTGTTTTGAGAACATTTAAGTTTATGTATGTTTCCTTGATTGTCCGCAAAATGAATAATATTTTAATATAAATTTTGTTTTACCGACATGGAAATATACATAAACTCGATGCTCAGTGCGGAAAAATAAAAAAAAAATATTCGCAAACACAAAAATCCCACCAAATCTACGAACAACTAATTTTATTGGTTCAAAAAATAATAACCGAAATTTCTAGAGTATTCAAAAAATACTAACCGAATGTTCTAAAGTATTCTGTTGAAATATTTTAAAAAGTTGTATTATTTGAGCTTTGTTATGTTTTTGTTGAGATTTCTATTTTAAATTGTTTTAAAAATATACTATCAAACGAACTATTTTTTTAATACTATGGCTCATTCTCGGAGCCACATCTACAAAGCTATAAATGTTTTAAACTAACATTATTTGCTAACAAAAATAAAAGTTTTAAGTTTATATTTTTTAAATTGTCAAAGTTTTGTTAATATATTATAGATCTTATTAGTATATTCTTATTTTTTATAAATAAGGGATGTATTTTTTATGTATGTAATGTATTTTTATGTAATGTATTTTTATGTATGTATTTTTTATGTATGTCGTTTTATGTATGTATATTTTATTCAAATGTAATCTTTTAAAGCAATTTTTGCGATTGATTTTGTAAACAAAAATCCTTTCAATAATAACTGTGTTTTCAATGAAATTATTAATAATCATCAAAGTTAATACAAAAAAATTTTAACCACTAATCCATTTTCCTTAGTGTACCCGATAACTGATGCTTTCCCCCAAGAAAGAAAAGTTTTTAAGTTCTTAGAAATTGGTTTACTCATTTCAATTATTTTTGCTTCAGCCATTCTTACAAACTCATTATACTTAAACTTAAAGTTACTTTTTCTATTTTAAATACTAATTAAAAATATAAAGCCCACTCACTAAACATTATAAGCGATATTGTGAAGCAGTTCCGGTTCCTCCTCCCAAAGTAATTTAATGTTTTTTAGGTAATTTCTATCTAGCTAATTGAATTTCTACAGTATCTCAATGATTTAATTATTTCTTTTGTTTATTTTACTAAGAAGAATTGTTTCAAATGTGTTAAACTTTTCAAACTACGCAAAGCATAAAACAGTTATTGAAAAAACTTTTTTATTTATAAATAAATCATCTAGAGTTAGTTTTATTGGTTGAATCTTGTTGGACTTTTCAGGGCCGGGTGCTGCATTATTTAGTTGGCCTTTTTTATGTGCCACAGCGTAAACACGACTAAAAAAAATACTGAATGGTTCTCTTGACTATTTTGCCCCCCCCTGACATTGTGAGTCCCGAGGCTATAGCCCTTCTAATTCCCCCTACCTCCTCAAATTTGCACTGGAAATAAGACACAAGTATATAAACAAAAATTATATATAGTCTTTGATAAATCGAAAAACATTTGTTTTCTTATTAAACCATCACTAATAGTAAGTTGTTACTTTATACAATAAATGTTGCTTAATTTTATAAAAAAAATTATAAAAAGTTAAAAGCTATTTTTCTTTTTTTTAACTGTCTCTCATCAGTCCAGTTAAGCTTATTGCGCTTTGTTTGTTTTTGAAATGTTTTAAAAACGACTAAAAAATCTGGCCGGTTTTTCGCAACTAAATATTATTTTTGTGGTCAATTATAGAGTGCAATCACACCCTCTTCCCGACCAAGCCTGTATATATATATAAATATAAATATATATATATATATATATATATATATATATATATATATATATATATATATATATATATATATATATATATATATATATATATATATATATATATATAGTGTAGCTTTAAGAGCGTTTTAATGTAAAAAAAGTCTCTTACGACTACAACTTTAATTACCTCGTCTCTTAAGCTGTTTTTGATTGTCATCGAAATGTCAAAGCAATTAATTTATGCGGAAGTACATTAAATTTAATTGTTTTTTAAAAAATTTTTAAAAAACCGCAATTATAACGACTAGAAAGTTTTTTTTAATTAGTGGTGTTTTTGTTATTGATTTAATAAAAAACATTTTTAAAACATGCGTAAATGTTGCTACATGGACTATCTTATAGCCTGACTCGCAACGGAGTGCTGCTACATCGACTGACAAATAGCCTGACTCGCAACGGAGTGCTGCTACATCGACTGACAAATAGCCTGACTCGCAACGGAGTGCTGCTACATCGACTGACAAATAGCCTGACTCGCAAGGGAGTTCTGCTACAACGACTGACAAATAGCCTGACTCGCAAGAGAGTGCTGCTACATCGACTGAGGGTTTGGTTTGGCCAGGCAGTCTATCAATTAAAAAAAAAAATTTAATTTTTAAAACTTTTTCTAGTCTGGTTTATTAACGCGCTCTTTAAAACTACAGTTTATGGGAAACTTTTTTTGATGCCACGCAAGAGACATGCAAGAGTATATATATATATATATATATATATATATATATATATATATATATATATATATATATATATATATATATATATATATATATATATATATAGTCTTGCATGTCTCTTGCGTAGCATCAAAAAATATTTCCCATAAACTGTAGTTTTAAAGAGCGCGTTAATAAACCAGACCAGAAAAAGTTTTGAAAATTAAATTTTTTTTTTTAATTGATAGACTGCCTGGCCAAACCAAACCCTCAGTCGATGTAGCAGCACTCTCTTGCGAGTCAGGCTATTTGTCAGTCGTTGTAGCAGCACTCCCTTGCGAGTCAGGCTATTTGTCAGTCGATGTAGCAGCATTCCCTTGCGAGTCAGGCTATTTGTCAGTCGATGTAGCAGCACTCCGTTGCGAGTCAGGCTATTTGTCAGTCGATGTAGCAGCACTCCGTTGCGAGTCAGGCTATTTGTCAGTCGATGTAGCAGCACTCCGTTGCGAGTCAGGCTATAAGATAGTCGATGTAGCAACATTTACGCATGTTTAAAAAATGTTTTTTATTAAATCAATAACAAAAACACCACTAATTAAAAAAAACTTTCTAGTCGTTATAATTGCGGTTTTTTAAAAAATTTTTAAAAAACAATTAAAATTTAATGTACTTCCGCATAAATTAATTGCTTTGACATTTCGATGACAATCAAAAACAGCTTAAGAGACGAGGTAATTAAAATTGTAGTCGTAAGAGACTTTTTTTACATTAAAATGCTCTTAAAGCGACACTATATGAGTATATATATATATATATATATATATATATATATATATATATATATATATATATATATATATATATATATATATATATATATAAATTAGTAGAAAATCACTTTGCAAATTTTTTTTTCATTTAACACTGTGTTTCATCAATAAAGACTCATCAGAAAGGAATGATCAAATTAGTAAAACTTCAATTTATACCAAAAATTAAATTACAGGAAGTTGCATGTCTCAACTACTGTAATTTTTCACACATTGTGAAAATGACACTGCTTTAAAAAGAATTTTTTAGAAATGATTACGTAAGGTTTTTTTTAAAGAAATATTTTTTTTTTTCATATTTTATTTAAGCTTATTTTTGTGCCTGCATTTAGAAATCAATTCTGATTTTTTGTTTAATAAACATTCTTGGTTTGCATGTGTAATTATTTCAAATTTTTCAAAGATTGCTTATGATTGGCAAAACGTTTTTTCCATTCACCCTCTGTTTTGCCAATATATTGTTTATCAGGTACATTCTTAGAGGAAACAAAACATTTATATACAACATTTTTTGATAAGCAGCTTCCACTCATTGGACAATTGTTTTTTTTGTTTACAATTACAATTTTCTGTAGTTTTTTCATTTTGGATTTCTTTTTTGTTTAACAAAGAATTGTTATGACCTTTTATAATTCTTTCCATATTTTTTGTGCAACTGTAGCTAACTTTAATTGTATTTTGATTGAAAATTTTATGTAATTTATTAGACGGCAGGAAATGCTTATCGATCCATTTTAAAAACACTTTTCCTATGTTAGTGGAAACATTTTTGCTATATGGGGGGATAAAACAAGTTACATTTCTAGTTCTATTTTGCTTTTTTGTATATTTTTTTCAGGGTCAAATTTTAATTTAAAGTTTTCAAAACCACTTTTTTTTAGGACATCTTCAAATATTTGTTTGGAGGAATTAAATACATTTTCATTAGAGGAGTTTTGATTAAGTCTGTTATTAATTGAAATTTGTTTTAGAATTTGGGGTGGATGATTTGAGTTAATAATAATATACAAAATTCATTGTTTGGTTTTTTGAAAGGCTTATATGAATTTTGAGAGAGATTAAATGTGACATCAAGAAAGTTCACAATTTTTAAATTTATGTTTATTTCGATTTGAAAGCCAATATTTTTAAAAATTTTTTATATCTTTTCTAATTTTATCAAGCTGTTGACCAGATTTTTTACGCATTACTATTAAACCATTGCTGCGATAAAGACCTAAATTATTTATATTGATTATTTTACTTAATAAATCTAAAATATATAGTCCAACAAATTCACTAATTTCTGCTCCTTCATAACTGCCCATTGTTACATCAATGCAGTCATGTATGTTTTGCACTCTTTTTATGGAATAACTTTAAATTGTTTATATATATATATATATATATATATATATATATATATATATATATATATATATATATATATATATGTATATATATATATATATATATATATATATATATATATATATATATATATATATATATATATATATATATATGTATATATATATATATATATATATATATATATATATATATATATATATATATATATATATATATATATATATATATATATATATATATATATATATATATATATATATTAGGGTGACACAAAATTAAAAAAAAAAAAAAAAAAAAGTCACAGTACATTTTCCTGTTCTACCAAACTTCGGAAATCTACAAAAAAAATTTTAGATCCCTAAGTGATCAGGAAGAGCTACATGTAAATTTAAAAATTTTACGTTCCGAGCCTTTTTTTTTTTCTTCACAATATTTTATTATTTTCACATCATTCAGCAAGTTTTCAAAACATGTGTCAAAAACTCAAGATGTTTTTAAAACATTTGTGGTCATTCACAACTATTTTTTAAAAACTTTAATTGCACCATAAACTTAGTGGATTACGTTTAATCACTTGGCAACTTTTGATTTATTAATTATCTTACTTTAAACTTCGATTTTTTTTTACTGTTTACATATCCGTACAAAATGTTGAAAATCAAAAAGAGGAAAACAAAAGAAATTAGCTATAACGCTCGGAGGTCTGTTTACCTGCTTAACTTGCCTTTAAGCTATCTACCTACAAACCAACTTCCATCAAATAGAAGTGTTCTTCGATATTACTTGTTCCTAACTTCAGCTAGAGATAAGCGATTCAAACCTATTAAAATAAACTTTTCATGTTCTCGAGCATGAGAGGATGTTATATGTAAAGGGAAAGACGAGTTTTGTAATTCAAATACCGAAAAATACTGTTTACTCCGACAAATTGTAAATATTTGGAAGTCTGCTGGTTTCAGTAATTACTTAATTTCTGAGAGAAGTATAGTGGAAAAGTTTAAATCTCTATACAGCAAATACAAAACTTTGTGCAACAGTAAAACCTTTCAAATCAAAAAGCAAATTTCCGAACGCCACAAAAATGACTTTTACAATATGGTAGAACAATTGTTTGACATCAGTGCGAAGGACTTTGAGATGAAGTTGAGACGCCATGAATCAATGCCTCGTGATACTTCTGCTTTACAAGAGGATTTGGCCTTCTTAGATGATCAAAGGTATTTTTTGCTCAAATTTTTTTGCGAAGATTTAACCTATTTTTCAATTATGATATATCTACTAATTTTTCCCTTATATAAAAAAATCATTTTTTTGAGAAATTTTTTTTTTTATTCAAATTTAGCTTACGCTAAGTGTTTTAACAACTTTTTGCACAGAACTAACATATGATCATATCTTCTAAAATTGACACAGAGCTTGAAGCAAGGTTTCAGAGAAAGATTGATAGATGCAAGAGGAAAGAAGAATATAAAGATCGAGTACAGAAGAGCAACGATTGGATAATTTGTTACAACAAAGAAAAAATTGGGGAAAAAAAGGCAATGGAATCACAACTTTTTTCCTAACAATGATATAAATTTCAATTTGGCAAGTGAGGAACCTACAGAACCTAAAAACTACAGAACCTAAAAAAACAAGAGCTGAATCACAATTAGGTAATATTTAAGTATAATTTGTTAAACACATAAAAATATTTGTTTCAACCTATGACTAAATAAAAAGAGAGAATATAAACAATTTTTTCTAATAATGCACGGACATTTTAGGCAAAACTAGTAATTTTTTGAAGTAAATGTATAGCTAAGCTAAGAATCTTTATATTAATTTAGATGCTGGAAGTGTAATTGCTAAGTCGGAAGATTTTGTCCCAAATAAAAATGTTAATTTTCACAAAGCAAGCTCAAAAAGTAGGCATCAGTTTAGACCATCATATTTCAGAGTAGAAAAGGAGATAACCAGTGAAGGTCTCATTGCAGCAACAACTTCCACCAGTATAAGGGCTGGTCTCAGCATTCGAGATCAAACCTTTCTTATTGCAAGCGTAGTAAACTATTTAGGAGGAGATGTTAAACAGCTAAAGTTAAGCAGAGAATCTGTCAGAAGGCGACGTTACAGATTTTTAGAAGAGGAAGGAGGCCAGATACGTAATGAATATATTAATTTAATGGCTAACAAGATGTTAGTTTTACATTTTGATGGTAAAATTTTAAAGCATATTGAGGAGGACACTAGACAGGCAACTACTGCAGATAGACTATCAGTATCTGTTACTAGCCCAAAGTTTGAAACCAAAGATGATCTTTTACTCGGTGTTGTGCCAACTGATAGTGTAACTGGTAAGGGAATCGATATGGCTATAAGTATTATGAATCTCCTAGAATATTTTGAAATTTGTGACTATATTGTAGGATTCTGTTCTGACACCACAGTAAGTAACACTGGATGGAAATCTGGTGCAATAACTATTATGGCAAGATTTCTTGGTAAACCATTTCTTTGGTTATTGTGTAGACACCATATTGCCGAAATAAATATTACTTGGGCTTTAAAGGCAATTTCAATGGAAAAGTCTAAAGCCCCTGCGAATAAGTTACTAAAAGATTTTCAGCAGAAATGGATAACAGAATTTTTTCCTAAAGTTTCAGCTAGTGGTGCTGTAGAAAAGTTCAAACGATTTCCTGAGCAAGACCTTATTGTTGGCAGTGATCTCTGCAAACTCTATTTGAAGTCTAAAAAGTTTGTTACTAAAGCACTAGAACATGAAATCTTCCCCAGGTATGTAAAAATAATATAAAATGAATTAGTTTTTTCATAAATATACTTTTTTTTTTAAAGTTATTAAATAAAGTTAGGAATATTTTAGGAATGATTACAGGCATCTTGTTGAATACTTGGCATATTACATGAATGTTAAGTCTGAGAAATTAAATAATTTTCTCATCTATCAGCCTGGCGCCTGTCACAATGCAAGGTTTATGGCCTATGCAATATATTTTCTAATGTTCAATATGACATCCACAGTCGTTGAATATCTGACTCCTGAAAAAAAACATATGGTCTCAAGGGTAGCATTTACTGTTGCTATTTATTATGGACCTGCCTTTCTTAACTCAGGCAAAGCAGAGCATGCTGTTCTGAATGATTTTAATGCATTCAAAATTGCTGAAACAATTAAGACAGAATGGGATTATGAAGTTGGAATCTCACTTCAAAAAAGCATGAGTAACCACACATGGTATTTGTCTCCTAAAGTTGTCGTACTATCGTTAGGTGATCCTTATATGAAAGCGTTTAATCATTCAGAAACTTTTAAAATTTCCAATTCCTGAGTTATCAGAGATTTCTGTTACAGCTCCTTCTGCTGTTAACGTTATCAGTGATAGTCGATTAGAGGATTTAATTACAAAGGAGAGTTGGCTATTTTTTATACTTACAGGTCACACCGAATCTGTTCAAGAGTGGCATACTTCAAGTGATTTCTTAGCGCTAGATTCATACAAAAACTTTGCTCAGTTAGTTTGCAATCTTAGTGTGACCAACGATTGCGCAGAAAGAAATATTAGTTTAATTGAAAACTTTGTTCACAGTTCCCACAATGAGGATCAGAGACAGAACATTCTTTTGGTAGTCAGAGAGCACAGAAAGCTTATAACAAAAGATATGTCGCTTAAGGAACTGGTAAAGCTAAAACCTAGAGTTGAAAAATTATTGTAAAATAATAGCTAACTGTATGAAACTATAAACAGTATTTTTTTTCTTGTAAGATCAAACAAAAGTTTAGATATAAACATATTTTAACCCGTAAAAAATGACATAAAGTTCAGCCAATCCTCAATATTTAAAAAATTACATGTTGCACTTCCAACGAATAAAAATAAGTGATATTTTGTTTTTAGACTAACTGAATGTTGTAGAACAGGATAAGCAACTGCGATTATTGATTTTTTAAAAATTTTATTTTTCAACCCTACTTTGTGTCACCCTAATATATATATATATATATATATATATATATATATATATATATATATATAATATATATATATATATATATATATATATATATATATATATATATATATATATATATATATATATATATATATATATATATATATATATATATATGTATATATGTATATATGTATATATGTATATATGTATATATGTATATATGTATATATGTATATATGTATATATATATATATATATATATATATATATATATATATATATATATACATATATATATACATATATATATATGTATATATATATATATACATGCTATTGCTTATATATATGTATGCAGGCTTCACCAGTTATGAAGTGTATGAATGCAGGCTTCACCAACTGTCTCATCCATTACACCAGGTTTTTTTATTAAAGATTAAAAAAATATACACAAAAAATTGTCTCTTTCAATTTAAACTTATACAATAATTTGCAATTAGTTTAAGATCGTTTATTTTTAAACTTTTAGGAGTTGTCAAAACTTAATAGTTAAAATAAAAATAATACTTTTAAATTAATAAACTTTAAATTAATTTTTTTTTTATAAAGTTAAATCGTTTTTTATCTTAAAGAATAATGACAGTGTTTAAACAGTTTCTTAAAGACAATGTTTAACCAACTTATTTAAGAATATTGGTTGTGTTTAACCTACTCTTAAGAGGTCTAACTAACCTCTTAAAAAACAATGACAGTGTGAAATCAAATTTTTGCAGATTAATGACAGTATGCAATCAAATTTTTACAGAAAAATTATGTTTATTACTTATGTTGATTTCTGTCAAAAATAATATATTTTTGTTAAATTACATACTTTCAAACTCCACAATAAAATCATGAATTATTTTTTTAGGATGTTAGCCATCAAAAAGTTGATGACAACGATGAATCTTTACAAATTGTAACTTTTAATAGGACACCAATAATGTCAACATATCTTGTTGCTTTTATTGTTGGTGAGTTTGATTTTGTAGAGGGAAAAACTGAGGATGGCATTAATGTTCGTGTTTTTACTCCTGTTGGAAAATCTGATCAAGGAATGTTTGCATTAGAGGTATGTTATAATGTTTTATCTTTTATGGTTTTAAAAATACTTTTCGTAACTTGAACTTTTTATTCCAAACAGATGATATTGTGCAGTTCATTTTTTAAATTAAATTTTTGTTATAAAAACTAATAATTATTATTTATTAGATGAAGAAAATGTTATTGACAAAGAAAATTTTGAATATAACTATTATCTGTTTCTTAAAAACTATAATTTTTTAGTTTGAAATTTTTTTTAGTTATTTGTATGAAAAAAACATTTTTCCCACTAATACACAATTTCCAACTAATACTCAATTTATTTATTTTTAATTAAATTTAAAAAAATACTAATAATGATTTATTTGAACAGATGAACAACAACTTGTAAACAGTAAGTTAATTGACAGTAAGCAATTGACTAATAAAGAATTAAACTTGTTTCATTATGAACCAATTGTCACAAACAAAAAAAAAACAGTGCAAAGCATGTTTCAATTGGTCTTTAGAACAATTGAAACATGTTTTGGACTGTTTTTTTTATTAGAATGGTAGAAAGTAATTATCTTCAACAATGAGTATAATTTTTATAAGTATAATAAATCGTTAACAAAAAAAAAAACTAAGGGTTTGTTGAGAAAATACTAAGAAGTATTGAAGCAGTACATAAAAAGCTGTATTCAAAATGGCAGTGACTCTGTTGCAATATGGAGGTGCATATCAGACTCAGACACTTCTTGTCATAAAAATCTATGAAAGAATAAATACATGCTTCAGGCCTTGTTTTAAGTAAAAAAATTGCTTAATTTATTAGCTTAACTCGATATTTGACGTCATAAACTACCTTTATTTTTTTTTATAGATGTTAAGCTACTTTTTTTTTATAGATGTTAAGATGTTAAACTACCGCAATAGGTAAATAACCGTTAACTCGTTCAATTTAACAATTAACTCAAATAACTATGAACGTTTTAAATGTAAATATATTATGAAAAGTTTGTTATGTTTTCAATTGTTATTCTGATATTAATTTTAGTTCAATATTATTTTGTGAAAAAAAAAAATATATATATATATATATTTTAATTATTTCTAAAATTTATTTTTGAATAATTATTGTTTTTAAATCGTTATAATGATTTTTTATTTTTAAAAATTTTGCGAGTAAACAAAAAAAAATTAATAAACATATTAATAAACAAAAACCCTTGTTAATTATTTAAACAGTGATTTTGTTTTGACTAGCAAAAAATAATTTAGGTTTTTAAGTATTTTTTAAATTTATGTTGCTTAGCGTTTTAACTTGCGTTGTATAATATAAAAAAGTATCATGTCTGCTTTGAGCATATTTTTGATGTGTAATTTAGAATGCGTTCGCCAGGAATTTAGTTCATAAATGTTTTACATTATCGTAAAAATGTTTTACATTGTAAACAAATCACAAAGAAACACAGGGCTATAGAGAAAAATCGTTTTTAAAGATTTTTTTTTTTTTGAACTTAATGAAATTGAAAAAAAAATTTAATCGTTACTTAATTGACTTATTTCTAGACTTAATGTCCCACTTATTGAGATTTTGAGACTTATTGAATGTTACTTGAAATATAAATATTATGTACATATATATAGAACAATATAATTTTATATGAAATATATGTTTTTTGCATATATAATATATACTATAAACAAAAAAAAGTCCAAAATTGATGTTTGTATCAAAGTTCTACGTGATAGCTTTCTTTTAGCAACCTTAGTCATTTTTAATAAATAAAACTTGATGGAAGTATAACCGAATTGAAGATATTGGTGAAAATGTTTAGTTCTTTAAATTATGTTTGACGCAAAAGTAATTAGTTTTCTAGCGTTCTAAGTTTTGAAATTTAATTGATATTTTTAAATTTTTAATGTAATAGTTATTAACAAATAGAATTTAATTGAAGCTTAACTGATTCGAAAGAACTTTGTGCAAAATGTTTAGCCATGTTTAATTATATTTGACGCAAAAATGTTTTATTTTCGTGCGTTTACAGTTTGGAATTTTTATTGAAGTATAGGAGGTTTTGTTATATGTACTTATATGCAATTCAAAAATAATAATCTTAGTTAAGTGAAGTTTTTTGCCAAAGGGACCTCAAAAAATAGTACGAGTTAGCAAATGGTCCGACTTAACGAGAGTACAAATTAAGCGGATGGTTTTACAGTAAGTTGACAGAGAATGTTCAAGGAGAATCGAAATTCCGTCTGACTTAGTAAAAGTCCGACTTATCCAGTGTCTGAGTTAACGGGATTCAACTGTATTTCTCATCTTGATTTCAAATATGCAACTTATTTTTCGCCATCATGTCAAGTTGTGAAGATATTTGGGCTCAAATCTTTAGTATAAGGAGTAAAGTCCCTAATATTGTCGAAAGTAAAGTTATTTAAAAGTATGTCAACCTGGGTCTCAAAAAAAGTTTTTCTTAAAACTCATTGACAAAAAAATTATGTGAAAAAAAGACTCTTAAAAAAATATTAACAAAATGTTTTTCAGCAATAATACAAAAAGTACATATTTTTATTACAAACGAATAACATTTTGGAATCTATGGAAATATGCTTCTTTTAAGACCCAGGTTGACATACTTTTGAATAAGTTTTTTTTCTCTTTGAACTCAAATATCTTTACAACTTGACGTAATGGTGAAAAATGAGTTGCACATTTGAAATTAAAATGAGAAATACTATAAAAAAAACTAATTTTTTGAAATTTTTTTTTTTTGTTGGCCTGTGTAATTACAAAACCCTTTTTTTTGTTTTTGTTTGTAAGCAATTTAGTTTAGAATAAAAAAATAAAAAAAGAATAAATATGAGGTAATATTTGTTAAGAACAAATTTAATTTATTTATTGAGCAATATTTTTATTTTTATTTATATACCAACTTAAATAAAATATACCAACATGTTAAAATATTTTAACATGACTTGTGTCATTTATAAACCAAAGGAAAGCTGCCCATATGTCACAATTGGTTTTGGATAATGTTTTATTTTGATGAAGATCACATAACTTACATTTGATTTTAATAACGTAAGTCTTCTCTTTTTCTGTGATAGTTTCAATTCGAAAAGCATTGGCAAAGTCCCAGGATTTAAAAGTTTTCAAAGTAAATCTTTTGTCCTTCAAATTACAATCCATATTCAAACAATTTGGAGAGAATGGAAATATACTAGGTTTTTATATACTAGTTTGTCTTATTTTATATAGAAAGAGACTGTCATTAAACTAAAACGTGCCTTAGTTTTTATTTAACGGAGTCTGTAATGTGCGCGTGCATAATGAAACCTCCGTTATATAAATATATTCAACATAATATTAGTGCCATCAGCAGATGTTGCAAATGTTTTTAATAAAAATTCAGTAAAAAACTCAAAAAATCTATATTACAAAAAACATATATATTCTGTATTAATAAATTTGGAATATAGATTTTTTTTAAAGTTTTTTACTGAAAACTTTAAAAAAATTACTACTTTTTATTAAAAATATTTGCAAAAAATTTTTAGTTAAGGATTGGCGAACTTTTTTCATGTTGCTAAATATTTAGATGAAAAGTTTAGCATAAAATTAATTGCTATAAAAAGGTAAAAAATTATTGCGATGAAAAGTTGCTACAATTATTTTTAACGTAAATTCTTTTTTGTAACAAATATTTTTACATATTGTTATTTAAAAGTTAATGTGGTTTTTCTAAAAAAACAATTACTTTTATGTTACCGCTAATTTAAAACTTAAAAAATGATAAAAAGTAGCTTAACCAAAACTGCTCTACGCATATGTAAAAATCGCTTAAGGTGTAAAACGTAAATCGCTCTAGACGCTTTAAAACAAGGCCTGATGTTTTATATAATAACAATTTTTTTCGGGCTATTATTTTCTAAAAAACTTGCAGAGAAAAGAGTATGATGTACTGTAACTGTGTGACATAAATTTATGGGGTTTTTTAAAAAATGTAAATACTAATTGAGTATTCTTTTAATGTTATAAATAAGATTTTGGCAGTCACTTAAAAGGACAATAATATTGTGAAAATTTTCAAAAAAAGCGTTATTACTAAAAGCAAAAGAAACATATTGACATTTTCCAGCTTAATCTGTTAAATATAACAAATATATTTAATGATAGAGCAAGTTCAGTTGGCATGTCCGAAAATAGAGAATAAAATTATGCATTATTTATATTTTGTTATAATGTTGAGCAAAGAAAGACTTGCAACCAAGTTGTGTATGTGCAGGAGTAGCAGTGATTTATTTGATGTTGTATCATGTAGTATTAAATAAGATTGTATTGTTGATTTGAATATTAAATGATATGCTAATGGTAATATTTAAATAGTGAGCAGCAAAGCAAAGACAATTTTTTTAAAATATTTTACTATTAGCTAATTTTTTATCTGAACATTTTTTTTATACCTTATGTGTAATAAATGAGTTGAAGTTAATTTTGTTTTTATTAGATTTCTTTAAAGACTCTACCATTTTACAACAAATACTTTGGGATCTCATATCCATTACCAAAAATGGATTTGATTGCTATTCCTGATTTTGCTGCAGGTGCAATGGAGAATTGGGGTCTTGTAACTTACAGAGAAACAGCTTTGTTAGTTGACCCATTTGAATCTTCCTCTGCATCAAAACAATATGTTGCTTTAGTTGTTGGCCATGAACTAGGTAATTAAATATATATATATATATATATATATATATATATATATATATATATATATATTACAGATTATATAATTAAATACATTTTTAAAATAATGTTGTTAATGTACACATAGCTCACCAATGGTTTGGTAACCTAACTACAATGGAATGGTGGACTGATTTATGGTTAAATGAAGGTTTTGCATCTTGGATTGAGTATTTATGTGTTGATTATTGCTGTCCAGATTATAAAATCTGGACACAGTTTGTTGCTTCTGATTTTGTTGCAGCTCAATCTCTAGATGCTCTTGACAATAGCCACCCTATTGAAGTAGAAGTTGGACATCCTTCTGAAATTGATGAGATTTTTGATGCAATATCTTATTCTAAAGGTGCTGCGGTTATTCGCATGCTTCATGATTATTTAGGAGAAGAAGATTTTAAAGCTGGTTTAAATTCCTATCTTAATGCATTTAAATATAAAAATAGCAGAACAAGTATGTTTTATTTCTATATTTAAATAACTCAAAAACACCAACAACAACTTATTTTAAATTGAAGTATCCAAAAATATTAGTAACGCATAGTGGTTTCTTGATAACAAGACCATTGGTCTTCTGCAATGACCATTGGTCTTCTGCAAGTTTCCTGCGTTCTTTAAAGTAATTTCTAATACTTTAAAGCTTTATTTTATTTATTTTTTGTACTACGTAACTTTATTTAACTTTAAGTATCATTTTATCAATAAAATTGTTTGTAGATGATCTTTGGGATCACTTGGAGAGAAAAAGTTCAAAACCAGTAAAGCAAGTTATGAGCACCTGGACAAAACAAATGGGTTTTCCTGTTTTAACAGTGACATGTGAACAAATCCAGTCTACAAGAATTATCCAAATTACTCAGAAAAAGTTCACAGCAGATGGTTCACAAGGTTTATTTTTCTTAATCTAATTTTTTAGGTAAGGATGTAAATCTTTTTAAAGAACTTTTTAAATCTTTTTAAAGATTTTGTAGACAAAGATTTGAAAAATGAAATTGCACAAAATATTTACTCATAAAATTAAATAAAAAACTATTATTCGCGTTTATATGTTTAGGGAATAAATTTTGCATAAATCTCAGCATGCCATTTCTACAGTCGCTAGACAATTTATTTTGGCCCCCCCAAAAAAATTGTCTATTATTTTAATTTTTTTTTTTGTGATTTATTCAAAAGTAATTTTTGTTTAAGAATTTTTTATGACAAATAAATTTAATATATTAATAATAAGATTTATTATTTAAAAATTACTAAAAAAGGATGAAAATGAAAAATGAAAAAATTACTAAATAAAGAATAAAAATGAAAAATTAAAAATGCGTCAGAACTTTAGTAAATGCATGTAATTATAACTTATGTTACACAAATTTAAAATAAAAAAGTGCTTCAACTAAACATCGTTATTCAGAACTTTATATGTAAAAACGTAACATTTAATATTTTTTTGCATATATTATTTAAAAAACTTTTTTTAATAATTATTAAAAAAAGTCTTTTAACTAAATTTTAGAAAAAAGTAAACTTTATCATGTTTTTGGTAAAAGTTGACAAAAAAGAGAATAAAATTTGACTACTTTTTCATTTTCCGATGTGCACAGCAGGACAAAATTGAGTTTTTTGTACCAAAATTATTTTCGTAGTTTTTTTTACTAGAATAGCTATATTTATATATAAAATGCATAAATAAAGTAATAAACATGTAATTATATAATATAAAAAAAAATCAATAAAAAAAGTAAATTTTGGAGAAAAATACGAAATATATTTGAACGACAAGTCAACTTTTATCAGAGTAAACATCAAAAATATTACTTTTCAATGCATGTGTTTGTTATAAAATAATTTTTTTAGATTTTTATTTAAAGAACTTATATAATATAACAGTAATGAAAGATATTGTAGGTATTCTTTATGTACAAATTTTTTTTTTTACATATTCAGTATTTCTCATCAACTGACCATTAACCAAAGATCAATGTTTTGTTAAAACTTTTTTTATCGCAAAAAGTAGCAAAATGTTTATTGTGCTAGGCTATATACATGCATTTAGCATGAGATTTACATAATCAAATGTTTAGATAATATTGGAGGATAGTTTATCAGATATCTTATAGTAAAGGTTAGTAGCAAAAAAAATATTGAAAACTGCCTTTTTTTAATGCATAAAAACTAATGATTACACTTACGTAAAATTGTTTTTTGAAAATTTAAGCAAAAAAAGCATTGTTAATTAAAATAATATATTATAAAATGAAAATCAGTAAAGTTAATTTAAAACAATAGTAGCATAAGAAAGTTGATAAATAAAAAATGCAAAATAGCATTTTGGAACACATGTCAAATTCACGTGTAAATTACCGCATAAATAAATGCTTAAATTAATATTTTATGTTTTTTTAACTAGATGTTTCCTTAGAAATATCTAATTAAAAAAACATTAAATATTAATATGTTTTTTTAACTAGATATTCTTTATAATGAACATGTCTTCAACATTATAACAAATTTTCAATGTGCAATGCCGACATTGATTTTTTGGTATTTTGGCACACTCTGTCCCACCGGCTCTGGAATAATATATATATATATATATATATATATATATATATATATATATATATATATATATATATATATATATATATATATATATATACATACATACATACATACATACATACATACATACATACATACATACATACATACATACATACATACATACATACATACATACATACATACATACATACATACATACATATAAAAAAGTTATGACTACACATCTATGTTTTTTTTTTGTTTTTTTTCGACAACTTGGTCGCAGATTTTTGCATATATTGATAATTTGCATTTTTTTAAAATGTGCTGAAAAAATTAAACAAATCATAAACTGTAAATCTTAACAAATGATAAAATAAGTAAACAATAAACCAGAGAAAAGCTTAATTAATCTTGTGTCTTAATTAATAGTTTAAACTTAATTAAATTAAAAGCCTTTCTATTAATATTGTAAAGCTAATAATTTTTTCTTTGATTTTTTCTAAATTTTTTGTAGTGAAACACTTTTAAATTAAAAAACAACAAAAACATAAATTTTGTTTTTAATGTTTAAACAAAAACATAAATTTTGTTTTTAATGTTTTTTATTGTTATAAAATAAAATAAACTAAACAACATTTATTTTTGATCAATTTGTTAATTTTTATTTATTTTTTGAGCATTTAAAACTCTATTAGTATTAAATATTTAAAAAATTTAATACTAATAGTTTTGAATGTTCAAAAAAAAAATTTATTTAAAAAATAAAAAAAAATTAACTACATTAATTTTCAATAATTCTTTACATTGAATGCAAATCGGAACAGTATTTTGGAATGGAGGAAGTAATAATTAGTTAAAAATTGTTTATTTTTAATTTTAGTTTAAATTTACATTTTTTATTCAGTGCATTTTTAAACTTAAAACATTCAAAGAGCCGTGGCCAAGATATCAAAGCAATATATTATATGCATGATCAAAATATTATATGCACGTGTCTTGAGCAGGCCTGATATATATATATATATATATATATATATATATATATATATATATATATATATATATATATATATATATATATATATATATATATATGCACATTATGATATGGCGTCATAACATCAAAGCTATCATGGTTTAGTTCTTATAATAATTAAAGTTATTTATAAGAATCTTTGTTTACTAACATTAATAACATTACTTAACATTAATTAATGTTATTAAAATATTTGTTTGCTAATATTAATAACATTACTTCCTGTTACTAGAATCTTTGTGTGTCAATTGCTTGATATTTGCATTAAAAAAATGCATTATTTTCTACATTTCATATGATTTTTGCTTTTGAAAAAGTAATTTATGATATATGCAAAAAGTTTAAAATTTTGTTTAAGTTTCATTTTATTTAGAATCAAATACAATTTGATTTTAAATAAAATTGGTTTAAAAATTTCTAAATTTTTTTTTAAATTTATTTTCAAGTTAAGTGAAAGGTTTTAAGAACATGTAATATAATAGGAATCATCCAGTTTTTATGTTCAAGTAACCTTGCACTTAACATATGTTGTGTGTAAGTGATATGGTTGTATGTTCAAGTAACCTTGCACTTAACGTATGTTGGGTGTAAGTGATATGTTTGTATGATCAAGTAACCTTGCACTTAACCTATGTTGGGTGTAAGTGATATGTTTGTATGATCAAGTAACCTTGCACTTAACCTATGTTGGATGTAAGTGATATGTTTGTATGATCAAGTAACCTTGCACTTAACCTATGTTGTGATATGTTTGTATAAAACATTAAAGCTAGATGAGTTCTGATATCTAGATATTAAGTTCTGAAACCAATTTTAAAAAAACTTAAACTATTGCCTAAATTTTTAGATGGAATTGAAAAATTTGTTTAAAGTTATTCTAATCTAAAAATTAGTTGAAAATTATTTTATGATAAAAAAATGTATGTTGGTTATGAAAATTTAAACTTAATGAAATTTTTTAGGTTTTACTTTTTTTTTAAATTGTTAGATTTTGAAATGGTTTTTTGAAAATGAGTGAATAAATAAAACTTAAACAAGTTATTGAGTTTATATACAATTAACTAGTTTAAAAACAATTATTTTATGAGTTTATTTTATAAATGAATTTTATCTATAGATCCAGCAAAACAGTTATGGGCAGTTCCTATTAATATATCAACTAGCAAAAGAAATGAAATTAGAACACTGATGAATGACCCTGATATGGTTCTATTTTTGGATAATGTGTCTCCAGGAGATTGGGTCAAATTAAATCCTGGTATGACAGGATTTTATAGAACTAGTTACTCTGCTGATATGATTGAAGTTCTTATACCAGCAATAAACTCTTTGCCTGCTGTTGATCGCATTGGTCTAGAAAATGATTTGTTTGCTCTAGCTGTGGCTGGTGTCTCTCCTACTACCAACTTTTTAAATTTACTAGCTGGTTACAAAGAAGAAACTGATTACACTGTGTGGTCAGACTTAAGTGGGAACCTTCACAAGCTCTCCATTATAATACAAAATACTAATAGTTTTAATGCTTATAAAAATTTTGTGATATCTTTATGTAAACCTGTTGCAACTTCTCTAGGATGGAAACCTTTAGAAGGAGAAGGTTTGTTTTAGGATTACTCTTAATGATTAAAAACAAAAATTTTAATACTTAAGTAATTAAATTATTTTTTAGATTATTTGACTGCCATGTTAAGATTTTTTTTTTTACCCAATTATCTGACTGCCATGTTAAAATTTTTTTTTATGAGATTGAGATGTTTATTATTAAGATCATCCAAATGCCTCATTGAGATTTTTTTTAAATCATCTGACTGCCATGTTAAAATATTTGTTATTTAGATCATTTGACTGCCATGTTGAGATGTTTATTATTAAAAAGACTAGGATTGGCTGGTGATAATGAAATAGTTGAAGAAAGTAAACAAAAGTTTTTAGATCATGTAGATGGTGTTCAATCTATACCTGCTGATTTACGTTCAGCAGTATATAGGTAATACTAATAAAATAAATTCAAATTAATTGTTTTTTTGTAAATTTACCTACTAAAGGCTGAGATAGGCCACTACAGTCAAGGAGGCTACTATATTGTTGTTAACCCTCTCTTAACTTTTTAACTCTGAAACACGAACCTTGATGAATAAGGTTGCTGCGTAGAGAAACAAGTTGAGTGTGGTACCACCATGGATGTGGTGGAGATTAAACTCGGAACTTCTCCTTTATGTGTTAAGCATTCTACCACTGTAGCACTATATCGCAAATAGAGTGCTCAATCTTCTTAAAATAACAAATCAATAATAATTTAGTAAAAAATCACTGAACTAATTTTTTTATTTTACACAGTGTTTATTCAAAAAAAACTCATAAAAATAAAATTTTTTATTGTTATTATTGATGGAGCACTGAGTAAAATAAAAAAAATTTGATAAGTGGTTTTCTCTTAATTTATATGTATATGATGATCATCAACATGACAGTCATGAAAATGATGATGATCATAACAATTATCATGTTATAGATTATAATTAATATCATTATTATCATGATTTTGATGTAGATGATAACACTAATGAAAATACTCTCTTGATGATAACATTGATGAAAATACTTTTTTTTCAGCACTGTTATGAGTGTAGGTGATCATAAAACACTTGAGCAGATGTTATCATTGTATCGTAATACAACATTAATGGAGGAAAAGAATAGAATTCTTAACTGTCTTGGATCAACAGAAGATCCTGATCTTATTAATGAAATTTTAAACTTTTGTTTGTCTGTAAGTTGTTACAAATAATAAATTGATTTTGTTATTTGTTTGAAAATGTTTGAGACTTAATATTATTTACTTTTATTTTTACTTAATTTTATTTTATAATTTTATCTTGATTATCTAATAGACACACACATATAAAGGTCAGATTATTCAATAAGTCGACAACATTTCTTTATTAAAAGATATTTGTTATTATTTTTTTTATTAATTATATAGGGACAGGTAAAATAATGTTGTATTTTTTCTTTATAATGTTGATATAAGTTTGACACTTTTTTTATGCTTCATACTATTCACTGTAATTTTTCTTTATAATGCTGATTTTAGCATTTTTCTAACAATTCATATTGCACTTTACTGTAAAGTGACTGTTATTTTAATGATGTATTTTTCTAACGATTCATACTACTCAGTCTAATGACTTTTCTTTCTAACAATTTATACTTCTCCTTACTTTAAACTAAATGTTATTGTGAACACCATAAAGTTATTTAAAGGTATAATAAAATTCTTTTCAGCTTTTTAAAAACCATTTATCTGAATTTTTTATATTTGAAGTTTAAATAACTATCATTTGAAGAATACAAGGGAAAAAACATGTCACACATTTCCACTTTTAAGATAAATGAAATTTTGTCTTTGAAAGCCTGAAAGTTTCCCCTGTATGTCTTTTCTATTTTGTTAACCTACAGGTTTATGTTTATATAGTAGGGGACATAACTCAAAAAATTGGAAAATGTGTCATGCACCTCTGGTCTTCATTTATCAAGAATATTTATTTATAGAATAAATATTTTAATATAAATCTTACCATGAGATAATAGATATTAATATTTCAACCCGTGTTACCAAAGTTGTTTGTAATCAAACTCCATCATCAAACAATAATTTTTTTTGGCTAAAATGTTAGTAGAATTATTTTAGTTGAACTAAAATTTTAATTTGATTAATGGTTTAGTTCTAATACAACTGACCTTACTGGCACACTAAGCTCAAATTTTTTAAAATAAAACTCAATGTCATCCAAATAGTTAACTTTGTGATTTGTAATTTAAATAACCTTATCACATATAATCCTTGATTTGTTTCTCGATTTGTGTCTTTTCCCTTGATTTTTGATTTGTCGCTTTTTGTGTTTTTATTTTGTGTCTTGTTTGGTAGGAGATTCAATTTTTTTTTTTCCTTTTTTTTTTCTAAAATTAAATGTTATTGTGAATTTTTTGTAAAATTAAATGTTATTGAGAATTTTAAAATGTTATTGTGAATTTTAAAATTAAATGTTATTGTGAATCTCTCTGCTAAATTTTTCCTTATTTTTTCTTTGTAGACAGAGAAAATTAAGAAATAGTCTCATTCCCAATTCTCTCATTCCCAATTCTCTCATTCCCAATTCTCTCATTCCCAATTCTCTCATTTGTTTTGTTATTATGTAGTAAAGGACTAATATTTAAATGAATTTTAAATTTATTTAAATATTATTTAAATTATTTGAGAATTTGTTATTAGAAAAACATGTCTATATTTGGACATGTTTTTCTAATAACAAATTCTCAAGAAAACAGCAAGATGAATAACATTTGCATTTGATGGAATATTGTATTTAGTAATATTTGTAGTTAATAGTATACTGTTATGATCAACCTATGTTGTTTTATGGTTAGTAATTTTTATTATTTGATAAAACTCTTTAGGTTAGATGCTCTTAGTTTTAAATATTTTTCATTGTTTTAAGATTTGTTGTGCTAAAGTAAACAACATCTTGCATTAATACAATAAAATTTCTACATTATTTCAATTCATTGCTGAGAAAAAGTTTCGACTGTTTTATTATTACAGCTAAAATGTACTGCAAAATCTTAATATTTTTGCAACTTTGTTATAATATTCAAGTAACAATTAATTTTATTTTTTATTTAGAAATAATTAAAAATTAAAATTAATTGCTTCTTGAATGTTATTTAATTATGTCTAAGTGATAGTTTACTAAAAACTGAATAATTATGTCTAAGTGATAGTTTACTAAAAACTGAATAATTATGTCTAAGTGATAGTTTACTAAAAACTGAATAATTATGTCTAAGTGATAGTTTACTAAAAACTGTATAATTATGTCTAAGTGATAGGGTAAACTGGGGTAAAGTGAACTGTTTTTGATATTTAAAGGAAATATTTTCAAAATAAAAGCCAAAACATTTTGCAGTTTTCAAAATTTATACCATTTAAAGTATTAGGTACAATATAAAACAAAATACTAAGATTAAAAGCTACTTTTACAATATTAAATATATATTCAAAAAAAACATGTCCACTAGTTCACTTTACCCCCACATTGGGGTAAAGTGAACTACTTCATCTTTAACTCTTTTGTGTTTGTTATTTCTAATAAATTAGTTTTTTTATTTTGTATTTTGCCTTGCTGCTTGATCTTTCTTTTAAAGCATTCGTTTTCTTCATCATTTAATCTTTTAAATGCATCTTCTGATGTAAGACACTCACCTCCATAGTGTCTTTTTATTTTTTTTGTAGGTCGTTTGTTGTATGAACGACCATCACCCTTTGTGGCCATTAACTGTTCTTTCACTATTTCTCTAATGATTTTATTTCCAGTAGAACAATCTACATTTGATATTGATAGTTGATTTATTTTTTCATTGTTTAAGTCTTTTCCTACTGATATTATAGTTTTTTGTGAATTGTATTTATTTGTTGATTCAATAGAAAAATTTTCACAAGTATCGTTCTGATCATTGACATTGGTGTCTAAAACGATGTTTTGAGGGACGTTATTATTATAGTTATTTGTTTTCTGAGAAAAAGGGTGTTCATAGATTTCAGAAGGATTTAACTTGTCAGATGCTATAGCAGATGGATCAAAGGGAAAAATTCCAGTTTTGGCAAAGGATTGTACTAAATGAGCTGGCTTAAAGGAGGTATCATAAAGTTTTTTAATAAAGATGGAAAAACAGATTTCCCAACCACCTTCAGCCTTGACTCGGTATACCAATTGGCCAGAATTTCACGCCATACATGTTTAACTTGGCGAAAGACTCCTACATCAAGTGGCTGAAGCAAATGCGAACAGTGTGCTGGCAAACACAAAATAGTTATATGATTTTCAACTGCTTTTTTAACAGTTTCTAAAGAAATATGACTAATGTGACCATCAAAGATAAGCAAAACAGGCTTGGGTGTGTCTTTCAACCATAAAACAAGATGGTTAAAGTATTCAGTGAAAACTTCTGTTTCCATCCAACCGTTTTTTGTCACCCCATATAAGGAACCATTTGGTCCACCAGTCATCCACTCTTTATACAAATTCTTCCCAGCAAATAAAATAAATGGAGGAAAATTTCTTCCTGCAGCTGATATTGTTGCTAGTACAGTAAACTGTTCTTTTCCTGATCCAGGAGCAATAGATACAGGGTTTTTAATACCTCTTTTGCAAATAATTTTTTTATTTATTGGGTTAGTGCAAAACCCACTTTCATCGCAGTTTAGTATTTGGGCAGGTCTATTCATAATGTCACATTTTTCCAATGTTGCTTTAAGTAATAAAAACCAAGCATCAATTACAGTTTTATTACAAGCTAAGGCTCTTGTTAATGTCAAAAGCTCTGGAGTTCTTATAGATATTTCTTTCTGCCAACGATTTAAAAAATTACAAAACCACTGATCACCAGCAACACCATTAACAAATTTTTTCTGAAATCCGTTTAATTCAATATATGTTTGAACAAGTTTCATAAATTGTTTTTTATCTAATCCAAATCCAAAATCAGAAAATGCAGATAAAAGTGAAACAAGATCTTTTTCAGCATCAGCAGATAATCGGTTTGGTCGCCCTTCACCAACTTTTGAGCATTTTATGCCTAGAAGATGTCTTGCAATTGTACTTCTTGGAACACCATATTCTTTTGATGCAGCATACGAAGTCATTTCTTTATTTTTAACTTTCGAAATGGCATTTTGCAACAAATTAGGTGCATATGTTTTTCTTCGAGATTCTTTTTTCTTAATGTAGTTTCTTGGCATTATTTCAATATATTATATTTCTGAAAATAATTTTAAGAATATTTAAAAAAAAAACAACTTATTTTAAGAGTAAACAATTTAGTTAAGTAATTACAATTTATATATTCAGTTCTACTAAAAATATTTGATGAAAAAACATAAGAAAAAGACTAGTTCACTTTACCCCCAATAGGCAGAAAAATAAGGGGTAAAGTGAACTAAATTGATTTACAAACTAAAAGCTTAGCTTTTTTATATTATGATAAAAACTACAATTTTTTTTTAACAGCATTATATTATCTTTAAAATGTATATAAATTATATAACTGATGTTCGCATTAATAACAACAAATCATGAATTTACTAAAACCCATAGCAAAGTTTGAGATCGTAATTTTAAAACTTCCGTCAAACTCGCTTTTTAAAATGGCTATTACATCAAAACAAAGGCTATATTTTATTAATTTTTTTATTTAAAAAATTTCAAAATGTTGTATTAAGCAAAAATAATGCTAAATTACTTAACAAAAAGTTTTTTAAACATGATAACTTTTTAGTTTAAAAAAATAGTTCACTTTACCCCTAGTTCACTTTACCCCAGTTTACCCTAGTTTACTAAAAACTGAATAATTATGTCTAAGTGATTTATCTATTGTCTAAAGATTTTTGTTTACAAAGTTCAGTCAACTATCATGAAGCTAAAAAATTACCACCAAAAAAAAAATGTTTTTTAAATGACAATCAAAAAAAAGTGTCAAGTGTTTGCTAGTCAAATAGACTGTCAAATTCTGATGAATTTTACATTCTAAAGGTTATTTTTCACTTCAACATCTTGTATTCCTGACACTAAAATGTCATATTAATTATATACTTCTTGTCATAGTCTCTAAAAAGTGAAATTTTTAAGTGAAACAAAAATTCTCCAGAATTTTATACTCTCTAAACAACTTTTGTTTTCCTTCTGAAAAATAACATCATTTGTCAGTTGGGTTGGTTTTTCTAAATCCTTTCTCTTTAGACATGGTCCAAAAATGCATTGTAAATCTAATTAGACTTGCGCTAGAATCCAAACTTAAATCTCTATTCCATTGTTTGAAAGTTTGTCATATTTTTCTTATTTCAACAATTCTACTATGGTCAGCCCTCAAGCAAGCTCTCTTGTTTCACTAAATCACAACTTTTAGATGAAAGTTAAAATGTATTATAGTTTTTTCTTAAGATAATTTTTTTGGTTAATTTGATTACTTTGGTTTGGTCACAACTAAAAATACATAACTTCAAAAATTTACATTTAGAAAGCAGTTTGTTCTTTTTTTCAGTTTATTTGTTAGTTTCTCGTTCTATTTTTTTCATGCACTCTAATCAACTAACAGATTAGTAAGATGTCACAAAATGTGACAAGAGTATGAAAATAATATAAATTTATACTAATAGTTTTTTATATTAAAAGCGATATTTTACTGAAAACATTTTTTAATAGGATGATGTTCGACCACAAGATACAGTATCTGGCATAGCAAGTTGCACTGGAAGGTAATAATAAATGTTTTATGCTTTCTTTTGTATATGTGTGTGTATATATATATATATATATATATATATATATATATATATATATATATATATATATATATATATATATATATATATATATATATATTAGGAGTGCATGGGTGCCTACTTTTCACGCCAATGGGTACAAAACAAAGTCTTCTTTATAGAAGGCCTCAACACTGTGCAGGAATTTTTTTGACTGAAGGCCGATTTAAAAATAAAATGGCGAATTAATAAAAGTTATAGCTTTGCTAAAATTAAATATAACTGTTTGAAAAAACTTGTGATATATTTTTTTAAATTACTTTGTTGAGGTTAGTTAACAACTTTTTAATTTAACTTTACAAGCACTTTTTAAAAATAGGTTTTTAAAAAGTGCTTGTAAAGTTAAATTAAAACATTTTCAACTGAGATTTTTAATTTAAAAGAAATAATAAGTAATGTGACAAATGTAACAAAATGTAACAAAAAAAACCCCATAAAAATATTTTTTTTTTTACTTAATAGAAAAAAAAAAGTTTTAATCTGCTAAATTGTAAATAATATCAGTTTCCTTATCATCTAATCTTCAAGACATAAAAGGAAGTCATGACAATCATTTCCTTTTACGCCAATACTTAGCTGTAGCACCAGCTTTTTCGCGTACTTTTTTAATAACTAATTGAGGGGTTATAAAATCAATACCACTTGATCTATTTTTCCAAAGCATTTTTTTTATTGGATCAGAAGAAAACCAGCCTAAAGTTACAAATTCATTTCCAATTGATAAAAGATGGCAAGACAAATCAATTAGGCCACTACAATTATGTGAAAGTGAATAGCTGGTATCTCTTGTAAGCTGGCGAACTCGTTTACAAAATGTTGGGTTATATTTTGAGCCATTCTTGCAATAAAAACCAATTTTTTTAAGTTAACGTCATCTAAAGATCTAATTACATTACGGGACTCATCCCTATATCTACCCACCTGGACACACTTATTTCTCAAAAATCTATAATTAACTCTAAAAAAATTATAGTACACTTGACACTTTCTTGGTCTATTTTAAAATGAGTTAGTAAGCTGCAACTGTCTCATCACTAAACACTTGTAAACAAGTGCTTACTTTTTGCCATTATGTTGGTTTAGGATTTATTGATGTTTTATTCAACTTAAATAACTTTAATAATTTTTTTTTTTTTTTCAAGTGTATATAAGTTAACTAAATTTCTCCAATTTGGAATGTACGTAATTTCATATTATAAAGACTTTTGACCATAAATGAAAATACAGTAGTGGCTTATTTCTCTGGATAAATAACAGCTTTTCCAAAAATGTTTCCACTTTGATATAATAAAGCAGCTTTTACATAAGTTTTATCTATCAATAAAACACAACACACTTTTTTTTCTCTCAAAGTTTGATATCATAGAACTTAAAAAAACTAAATCATCTTGAGAATTTATTTTTAAAGTTATATGAGTTAAAGTTTGAATACTTGGCGAATAAAGTTTAAACACTGATAATCACAACACAATTGATTGTAAGTGGAACAAATTGTTGCAAAATATTTTAAAGCCTTAGTTATTATATCAGGAGAATAAACAGTACAGCCAATAGAATGATCTTTCATTACATTTAGATGCTCAAATAATATTTGAGTTTTATGATTCTCATCTTAAACTTTTAGATATCTAAGTGCTTCTTTTAAAGCTGACTTTGTATTAAATAAAGTTATTTTTTAATTTGAAAGAGGTTTATTAGTACATTTTAAACCATAATAAAATGCTTCTAACATTAAGCTTTTATTAACTATCAGCAAAAATAGTTGAACTCCACAATTAAATTCTTTAAACTGGATAAAAAATAGAATTGTTTTGGTTGCAAGTAATCATATCATTTTTAGTAGGTGTTCTTCTTTTTTGATACTTACTTTTAAAGAAGATAAAGTTTTTCTTATTTGTATGTTGAAGAGGGTTTACAACTTTTAGAGATATTTGGAAACACTAATGAAGGATTAATTGGTCTCAATTTACTACAATATAAAGTAGACTCAGCATCATCTGGCCAATACAACTTACAAATAATGCTATATTTTGTTAAAATCCAGTGTGAGCGAGCACATGAACTACTTGTTTTTCTTTCAGATACATAATAAAGAAATTTTGTATAAAGTTTTACAAACTGAAGACTTATATCTAGGGCAAAAGGTTTGGTAAACTAAAACTTAATGGCGTCATAAACTATTTAATTTAATTTTCTTTGAATCAATTTTTTTACAACTTTTATACAGCTTATTTAAAACGGACCTTCAAATGAAATAAATTCCTGCACTGTGTTTAGGCCTTCAGATGAAATAAATTCACTGCACTGTGTTGAGGCCTTCAGATGAAATAAATTCACTGCACTGTGTTGAGGCCTTCAGATGAAATAAATTCACTGCACTGTGTTGAGGCCTTCAGATGAAATAAATTCACTGCACTGTGTTGAGGCCTTCAGATGAAATAATTTCCTGCACTGTGTTCAGGCCTTCAGATGAAATAAATTCCTGCACTGTGTTCAGGCCTTCAGATGAAATAAATTCACTGCACTGTGTTGAGGCCTTAAAATGAAATAAATTCACTGCACTGTGTTGAGGCCTTCAGATGAAATAAATTCCTGCACTGTGTTCAGGCCTTCAGATGAAATAAATTCACTGCAATGTGTTCAGGCCTTCAGATGAAATAAATTCCTGCACTGTGTTCAGGCCTTCAGATGAAATAAATTCCTGCACTGTGTTCAGGCCTTCAGATGAAATAAATTCCTGCACTGTGTTGAGGCCTTCTATAATAAAGACTTTGGTACTGGTTAATGTAGATGCATCAGTATTAATATTTTTTTCTTTTTTATTAATGGGTAAATTAGGATCATTTTTTAAATATATCTTAATGTGTGTGTGTGTATGTGTGTGTGTGTGTGTGTGTGTATATATATATAAATATATATATATATATATATATATATATATATATATATATATATATATATATATATATATATATATATATATATATATATATATATATATATATATATATATATATATATATATATATATTGTTTCTTCTCTTTTAATAAAAGATCACCTAGATAAATGTAGCAACATCTAAATGTATCATCTAAAAAAGAAGCAAAAATTTAAATATTTGAATTGAAATGCTTTTTATTTGAAAGAAAACTTTTTTCTTTTTTATAAATTTATAAATGTTTTCTTTTTTATAAATTTATTATTAATAATAATATATACAAATATAATTGATTGTAAATATAATTATTATCAATAATCATTAACATATGCTCACAATATTTTCCTTTATTTTTTCACCCAATTCTTCTATATTTTTCACATGATTTTAAAGAAACTGGTGACATTCAAACTTTTTACATAATTCTCCTATACTTTTCAGAAAATTCTTATATATTTTTTGCATAATTCGTTTCTATTTTTCATATAATTCTATATTTTCCACATAATTCTTTATTTTTTATTTTTATTTTTTGTTAACTGAAATTTTTTCAGATTTTTTCTTACATTTTTTATTAAACAAAATTAAAAATAAGATTAGAAAAATTTTAATAAGACTTTTCTTTAATTTAATAATACCTTTAAACTAGTGGTTGTATGTACCCTACACTGCACTTATAGTTGAATAATATATGTATGCTTAAATCCATCTAAAAAAAGTTAGTAAAATAAAATTATAAAAACACAAAGCTAATAATAATATTAATAAAAATAACTAATAGCAAAGATTACAAACATTTTAGTTAAGCTAGTGTGCTACAGACATGTATACAGAAAAGTTAACTAAGTAGTTTATTTTTTAAAAATATTGTTTTTGTTCTTTATTACAATAAAGTGTTTAATAAAGTGTTTAGCACTGTAGATTTTAGTGCAGTAGATTTAGTAAAAAGTAGCAAATAAGCGCAAAGTGTTGTGGCTAGAGTAAAAAGTAGCAAATAAGCGCAAAGTGTTGTGCGCAAAGTGTTGTGGCTAGAGTAAAAATTTTATGCAAGCTCTTTAAGAATGTGTTAACAATGATTTAATATGAATTAAAACACATTTGAATTATTTGTTATACAAAGATTTTTCGGGTGTAGAGCTTCTTCCATTTATACCAAATTCATCTTAAATAATGTTGGTTAATGTTAAATGATTACTAGTCAATGTTTTTCAATTTATATAACTGATGTAGAACTAAAAATTTCAATGTTTTACATTGAAACAATGTAAGAAATTAAAGTTTTGTTTTAAATACAAATTAAATAATAAAAATTAATAAATTCTTATTTGACTTTTTTATGTCTTTGTACTTTAGAATAAATAAGTAATAATTCTCACCCCATAAGTACATAGCATAAATAATTAATAGTACCACCTGCCAATATGACTATTTAATCTGCCTTTTTATGTTATAAGAATTTAGCAGTTAAACAACTTAAAAAGTTTAATATCATTAGAATAATATCATTAGTTTAATCCTGAAACATAAATAGCGATGCATAGTTTATAATTATAAAAAATAACAATAGTAAAACCTTTAAACAAGGAAATATCAAAAGTTAAATTCTTATAACATTAAAATTTCAGATAGAATCTTATAATTTTCATGTGACAATATAAACAGCAATCACATTTTCTTAATTTTCTTGTCACAATATAAACAGCAAACACACTTAATTAATTTTCATGTGACAATATAAACAACAAATATATTTTCTTAATTAATTTTGTAAGTTATTTAAAAAGATAATATGTTGTATATATTTATAAAATACATAAACTACAAAACAGAATAATGATTATCTCTGAAAACAATAGCATATACAATTAATAATATATTTTTAATATTACGTTTCATATATTTATAAAATACCTAACTTACAAAACAGAATAAATACATGCTAATGATCATCTTTGAAACAATAACATATACAAATAATAATAATATTTATGTAAT